AACTTGTCTGTTCCCTTCCCCCAATTCCCCAGCACTGTTTCCATCCCTCCAATTCCCCAATAAAAATCTTTAAAAAAAAAAAAAAAGGAAGACACACAAAGGTGAAATGTGGGTGAAGCTCTGAAGGAGGTCAGGGAGCAAGTTGGGAGGATCAAGTGAACAAGAGACTTCCCCCAGTGGGAAGGTTTTGAGGACTAATTTGGTGGAGGGACCTCAGTGGCCACTCCGTACACAGGAGCATTTAGTGGGTGGACTTGGTGGCTGCACAGAGCAAGGGTCAGGTGGCAGAGTTGTCAGCAGTGAGGAGAACGTCCAGACAATAAGCTCTGAAACAGAGTCCCCCTAAGGGGTCCCTTCCAACAGAGGGTGGAACAGGACGAGGGTGGGGAGGCCCTGTCTGCTGCACTCTGTTGCTGTAGGTATTAGGGTCCACCTCCTGGCCAACCACCCACAGGTCAGGGGCACCAGACCAAGTCAGGAGGTCCCAAGGGCTGCTGACACACCTTAGTCACCACCTCACCTCACTTTCTCCTTGGCATCGTTAAAACTCTCAGCCACGTAATACAGGGGCTGGAACTCCGTGATTGTGTACTCCTGGATGGCTGTCTTCTCCAGCTCCAGGGGGAGGAGCTTCGGCTTACCGGATAAGCAGTACTGCAGGCCCCAAGAAGGAAGTTTACACAGTTAAACCAGGGCGGTGGTCTTGCTGCATCCTATGGGCCATTTGTGCATCTTCTCCCATCTCACCCTGATTCGTCTCACACCATAGCCCAAGTGCAGTAAACTAAATTATTTTGCATATACTAGATCCTACCCTTCATAGCCCATCTGAAACCTACAGGTAAGATAGAAAGAAGTAATGCACTCCAACCATTTTCAAGCAAGGTGATCAACAGACAATGTGAAAGCCAACCACATTTTCTGGCATGTGTTTGCAAACATCTGTATGCACAGTTCAGCCATGGAATCAGGAGGCCCCTTTGTCCTGGAGACCTGTGTACTAGCAGTTCAGTTTCTACCTCTAACATCCACAATCATGATCAAATCATAGCTGCTAAGAAACCAATCACTTGAAGTTAAGCCCCTGGGTTGAATTTCAAAATGGATGTACGTGGCGTTTCCACAGTGCCAAGAGAGAAAGAATGGTTGGTTGTAGCCACCACTTTCAAATCCATCCTTGGTTCCTGTTAGGGTCATACCTGTAATTCACCAAAGGATGACAGGAGCCCAGCACCATATGCCTTTATGGAGTCTCCTTGCTTGCAGAGCCCAAACTCCACAGTAAACCAGTAAATCTGGAATAGAGAGTCAAATTGAGAGCACACCCCAAAGAAGGGAAGGCAGCAGATGCCCCAGGGCTAAGGGTAGGACTGCCCAGGTGGGAGAGTGTGCAGATCTGTTCTCTGAAGCAGTGTGACCTGGGGTCATGTCTCTGTGTCCTGTAACTCTTTCTAACCAGTCACCTACTGAAGCAACAGTCAGCTGAAAGGACGAAGTGATAGGAAGCAGTGATGGTGGGGGAGGGTGTTAGGAAGCCCCAAAAGGACACTCCAACAAGTTCCTCTCTCTATGACAAGAATTTTGCTTTCTTCCCTGTGGTATCATCTACAGAAGAGAGTCTTCAGCCCAGAGAGGTCAAACAACATGCACACAGTTACACAGCATATCAAGGGCAGATCAAAAACTCAGGACTGTTCCCAGCCCAGGATATCAATAATAAGATACTTTTTTTTAAAAGAAATTAGGTGAGTGATGAGTACTTTTATCATTGTTACAGTGGATAACATGATACTCTGAGTTCTGAGTTTATTTTCTTCTTATGAGTGAGAGATTCTATCAAGCTCTGCAGCTTCTTTGAAAATTGCTTATTGCATCTCTACAGCATCAGGCATTTAAAAATTCACATTCACATAAATTTTCACTCTTTAGATCCTCATGGTACACTGAGATGGGTAGGATATAAACCAGTGTATCCTTTCTTAAAGATAAGGAAGCGAAAGCCACTTGCCCACAGTCTCAGAGAAGCTGGTCAATAAATAAGAACCTTCTGGGAGGTTTTGCCCTTCTGATAAGTTGAATTCATATACTTCTAAACTGATCATCTTAATGATAGATTTGCATGCTTTTGTGATCCCTAATTCCATGATAAAGTTTTATCTTTCGCCTTCCAGGCTGAGCACATTGTGGGGAGGATGGTGCTCAAGCTGGTACTCAAAAAGCAAGTAGGAAGGAAACGCCCTGCTGTGCAGAGTTGCCGATTCCAGGCTTCCTAGATGAGTGTCATCACCTTCCCTGGAGAGAGGGAAGGGAATGGTACAGGGGGAAAGCCCGCCCCATTGCTGCCTTGTGTCTGAGAAAGAAAAGTTCCCAATGCTGGCTCTGCTGCAAAGGCAGAGTATGTTTTCCCTCTTCAAAGCCGTGAATCCAGACAACTTCCCCCAAGCCCACCCTTTATGCCCGGGAGTGCTCAAGGGTTATCATTACAGCCTGTTGATGTTTTCAAGGCACTCTGTTTAAAATCCCATGTAATCATCTGCCTGACGTTGATTTCAAAATCAAACCATTAAGAAGAAATCCAAATGTGAAATTTCACTTATGCAAATGTAACCCAGCGCATTCTGATTTTCTTCCCAAATGGCCTGGCTTTCATGGGAGGATCAAAGCCTCAAAGATCTGAGGCCTAAAGCCTATAACACTCCCCCTATTCACCAGGAAGAGAGGGGGCTTACCGTGGCAAGCTTCTCAATGTACTCGTCAGGTGCACCCAGAGAGGCCAGGCCAATTTCCTGTGATTGTGGAGAAACAGAGTCACCAGCTGGCCTGGGGCCTGCCTATCATCAACCCTTATCCTCAGTCTCCATCTCGTACTTGGCCACAGGAAGGTGATGGTTGGCCAGATGCCTTTGGAAGGACCCAGAAAGACGCTGACTGTTCTGTCCAGTCTTCCCTAAACGCACATCACAGAATCACGGAGCTCTAGAGTAGGGGAAACCCTTCCCTAAGAGTTTGTCTTTTGTATTCACTTTACAAATGAGAAAGCTGTGGCACAGAAAAGGGGGATGACCTGCTCAAGGTCACCCAGTACTTTGTGTATAAAGCTTCATCTCTTGATTCCAGCTCAGGAATGATTCTCCCACAGCAGCGGTGGAACTTTTCCTGGAGCACTAGATGAGCCTTAATCACGTACCCTGAAGACATCACAGGAGAACCGCAGAGACGTGCTTGACATCTCTCCAGGTATATATAGTTGGAGAGTCTGAAATGTCATGGACCACGTCTCATCATAGCTCCAACCGCAGAACTAGTGGTCTCCTTGTCTCTGTTACAGCATTTGCTTCAGCCTGCCTTGTATCAATGTATATATACAAATATATATATTTGTCTCTTCCCTGCTATATGATGCCACCATCATCAAAGCAGCAGGTTGGACCTTGATTTATCGATCAAGTGCACTGGTGAGCAGGCTGACAAAATGCTCTGTGGATCAGAGAAAGAATTCTACTCATCTTCACTGGGCACTGAGAGGCAGCCTAGCACCATGGTTGGGTGGGTGGGATCACGGGATTGTTGAACGATGCACACAAAGACCCCGCCACGCCACCAAGCAGCTGTGTGATCTGCGGGCAAGTTGCCAGGCCACCCTGTGCCTCAGACTCCACAGATGTGGAGCAATACAAAGCCCTCCCTGCCAGCCTCCTTCCTCAGGAAGAAAAGTGAGGATCACAAGGAATGACCCACGAGCAAATGCTGACCAAGTACGAATTTCAGAGTAATGGGACTGTGTGAATTTTATAAGCATTTTCCCTCAGCTGGGAGAAATAAATATTTCCACTGTTGAATGAAGAGGCTGCCACTTAATATCTGAAACAAACAAACAAAGAGCTGACTTCACTGCTTGCTAAGTAAGGGAGAACTGTGGTTGAAAGACACAGCCTCTCCAAACAAAGAAGAGTGTTGCTTTTATGTAGGGTGTGGGGAATTGAGGAGTTCAGAATTGTTGGACTTTTAGAAGTGGGATTAGTTGAATTTTGACTGTGGAAGTATCACCATTGGACTGATACTATTGCTGACCATCTGGCTTTCAGAAGTGTGGTTCCTGCTGTCAAGATGTCATTGATTACTTGGGAGGATTTAAAGCCAGGATTTGTTACTGTGGCCAAAGAAAAATCAGTTTTCTCCTTGCAGAACAGGAGCTTCTTGTTCTTGCCACCAGAAGCTATTTCCCCCAGTCAGAAGCTAAATGACAGTCCTCCTTAAGCCATTTCCATTTTGGGGAGTCCCACAGAGGAGTGGATGGAAGCTACGGGCCATCAAATGTCACACGGTTCCAACGTTGACCTGGACAGTCCCAAGGCTTTTGAAGGTTCCCTGAGCACTTTCTTTTTGGATCTAAAGGCAGACTTGCTTCCCACTGGAGTACAGACGGGCTGGGGATGGAGCACAGAGAAATCCAGGGACCTCTTGTTCTAGGCAAGCTCTGGGCTAACAAAGAATGGTGACTACTAGAACAGGGTACTATTTCAATCTTGGATTTATCAGTGGCTTCTGATAGACTTGGAATGTGGCACATCTGGAGCAGAGATGGGGGAGGGGCAGGAGAGTAGAGCCAGGCTAAGCTGGTATCTGAATCTGGTTCACTGTAACTCCGACAGCATTTTCTCAGCATGTAATCTGGGCCAGGCTCTGCGTTTGGCCCAGGCAGGAATACAGGGATGAAGACCACGTAGTCTCTCGCTTCAAAGTGGGCCCAATGTTTAGTTCTTCTCTGTGTCTACACCAATTCCTTGGTTATCTCACCCAATTTTATGGCTTTAAATACCATCTCTACCCTGAAGATGAACACATTTATATCTCCACTGACTTTAATCTCAAAACTCAGATTTACGTATCCAACCACCTACTCAATACCTACATTTGGATGTCAAGTACAGATCTCTCTTCATCCTATCCAAAACCGAATTCCTGATCTTCCTGCTCAAACCTTCTCCACCCACAGCCCTCTCTATATTCGTTCATGGCAACTCCATTCTTCCAGTTGCTCACACCAAAAGCACCTGGGGGACATCGTTGACTCCTTTCTCTCTCACATACACACAACCAACCTTTCAGAACATTCTGTGTGTTTTACCTATGGAATGCGTGTAGAATCTGGCCATTGCCCATCATGTCCACTGCTACCAACCTGGTCTCAGCCACCATCATTTCTCACCCTGGTGACTTTAGTAGCCTCTCAACTGGTCTCCCTGCCTCTACCCTTGACCCCTCTATAACCCTACTCTCACTCAGCAGCTAGAGTGAATCTTTGATGATAAACCAGATCTTGCCACTTCTCTTCTCAAAGTCCTGCCATGGCTTCCCATTGCACTGAGAGGAAAATCCCAAGCTCTAAGTAGCCAGAAAGGTCCTACATGTTTGAGCTTCAGATCCCTCTTCAATATCACCTGTCACTCCCCCCACCCTCTTACTCTGCTCTAAACTCACTGGTCCCTCTCTGTTCTTGAACAAACTAATGTTTCTTCTCCTCGGAGAGCTTTTCACTGGCTGTACACTCAGCCCACATAAGGCTCTTCCCTCAGATGTCAGCAGAGCCAACAACCTCACTTCCATCAAGTCTTTGCTCAAATATCACCTTCTCAAGGATGCTCACCCTGGAGCCCTATTTAAAGTCACACCTTCCTCACCCCACCCTTCTCTTCTGGCATTTCTCATCCCCCTCTCCCCTTTATCCTTTTTGCTACTTCTTTCCAAAGAACTTATTACCTTCTAACATACCTATGTATGTGTTTATTATTTATTGTCTAGCTCCACTCACTCAAATGTAAACACCATGAGGTCAAGGACCTATGTCAATTTGTGTACCTTCAGCCACATAGAAGGCACTCAGTAGATATTTTTGCAGTGAATGAAGTCATATAACAGGGAAGACAAAAATGTATTTGCATATATATATATATGTATATATATATATATATATATACATATATATGCTATTGGCATTGAATTCTTGGCAAATATAATCTTACTTAATGAAAGCATATACAAAAATATCTGCCTGAGAAGGGGGAAAGTGACAAAGGCCCTAAAGGTGCTAGGAGAACTTGACAGAGGTAAGGTTACTTCTACAGGGGGATCAGGGAAGCTTTTATGGATGAAAAGGGTCTTAAACTACACTGGTAGGACAAGTGACATTAGCAGATTCCACAATGTAATCCAGATGATAAGCAATTCACCAATCCCATGCTGTGGTCCCTGCAGTGGGTATTCAGCCATCTTCATGAGATCACACACCCATGTCAGGTGGAAGCACAGAACTGCACCTTGCAGAGGACATGAGGCGCCTCCCTAGGCTCAATTCATTTGAGCAATCCAGGTCTCAACCCGGTAGCTCGAAGGCTAAAGAGATCCGTTCCTCACCTGGGAAAACTGGGCAAAGCTGCGATCTGAAAACAAGGGCACGTGTCCCAACAGCTCATGGCAGATGTCACTGAAAAACAGAAAGCACAGAGCTTGGCAAGGAGGAGGGTTACAAGCCAAGCCAAACTCAGTTTTTCTACAAAAGAATGGTCAGAAAGAAATGAAGTGACTCATTCAGGTTTACAACCTCACTCCTAAGAATAAGAGATGTGTGTAAAACTTGGGATCAGATGAGGCAAGGTATAAGAGAAAAGGAAGAAGGGGAAAGAAAAGTAAAGGACAGGGCAGGGGTGCAGAACAGAAGAGCCAATATTCCCATGGGCAGCCTCCCATACACCTGAGTGGGCTGTGGGCCATGAATACTTCCCATGCCAGCTTTTCACCTCGGTATTGACATCCCTGGGCAGATACAATGTGTTCAGTTAGTCCCCATGGGAAGTATAAAAAAAATTTTTTTTTAATTGTGCCATTCCTCTCTTATTCTGGAGTGGGCAGCAAGTCAGTCCGGGGAGAAAACTTACATTGATTTAATACTTTATGTACCAGGTTTATTAGGAACAGGTCTTTGCTGATGTAAAGTAATGAACTTTGTGGGCATGGAAAGACCATTTTGGGTGTCCTGCTGGCTGTATAAATCACCTAAGTTCTAGCTGACTAAGAAGAGAGCTAAATGCAAAAGTAAACAGCCTAGTGGCCAGCCACAATCTACGGCCAGCCAAAACATGATCTAGGCAAAGAAAGCTTAGAATCATCTAGGCATGTATTTAGGAGGTGTTGCGATAAATAGCTTCCTGCCATTTGTTCCTGTTCCCATTTGGAACTTCAAAGTTCTGACTCCTACAATCCCTTTGGAACTCGGGAAGTTCCAAATGGCCAGGAAAGGTCTGAATCTTTGGCTCACAGGATGCCCAATTCTCCAATTAGTGTGGTCTATTTGGACAGAAAAAAAATCCTCTGAAGAGATGAATTCTTCCCTTAGTATCAATCAAACAATCTAGGCAACTTGTTCTATGGATCAGTTCACAATGAACCCACACCTCATTCCTGGAGCAGGGAGAGGTGGCACTCACTGCAGCTGGCAACGGGTAGCAGAAGGACCATACTCACGGTTCAGGCGTATACATGGGCTTGGACCCATGTCTGATGTACTGTGTGCAGTGGAAGACCCGGAAGGCCAGGCCACCCAGGAAATCCCGAGAGGAAAGCAGGCCAGCCACAGGTCGGAGGCGGAAACCAGTGCAAGCTAGGAAGTAAAGGAGAAAGAAAACTCAAAGCCCATTACAGCAGAGCCAGAGGGACCTGAAGACCTTTAGGTAGGAAAGCAGTACCCCAGCTGTCTAGGAGCATGGGCGCTGATGCCAAGTAGACTTGGCTTCAAATCCCTGCACCAATACTTTCTAGCTGGGTGATTCAGGGGAAGCAAGTTCACTTCCCTGAGCCCAGTTTCCTCATCTGCAAAATGTGGATAAATACTTCCTAGGGTTATTCTGAGAATCAAAAGAGCTAATAAATAGAAAGGACGTAGCACAGAACCTAGACTGGAAACATCCAGTAAACTCAGCTTTCATTATTGTCTGTTCAGGTGGAACACTTATTCGCTCTTCCTCAGGTTTCCAGAGTGCAAAGGGAATTTCACTCCACTTCCCAGGAAGGAAAAGTATAGAAGGAGCACTTCCAGCTCCTCTCCTGCGCCTCTCACAGTCCACCCCATGGAGTCTTTGGGAAGAGCGGTGAATATTCTCAATTCAACCCTTTCTTCCCTTTCTCTCTTGACTGCCCACAGATGAGCCCACTCTGTCTGCTTTTGGCCTTGCAATGGGCTATACATGGTGCCAGTGAATTGGCGAGAAGGTTCACCTGATCTAGGGGGGAAATCATGGGATGTGGCTGCACAGCTCCACCACATTCTCTAAGTTTGTCAGTAATAAAGCTGACATTTTGTTCACCATCTCTTTGGTTCCTGTATCTGTCTCTCAATTTATTTCAGACTTGGGAGGAGAATAATAATTACAGTAATCCTGATAATAATAATAATAACAAACACTATATAATTACCTCTCATGTGTCAGACACTGCTCTAAGCACTTTATGTACAGAGGGTACCCAAAAAAGGCATACACATTTTAAGAAAGGAAAAAACTGTATTGAAATTGTAATACTCAATATATACTGATAACAAAAGATGAATACAAGTCACATGTATACATTTTTTTTTGGCACTCCCAGTATACTAACTGATCCTCATAACAACTCTACGAGGTAGATGCTCTTATTATTCCCACTTTACAGATGGGGAGCTGAGACACAGAGGAGTTCAAGTTCTCGTCCATGGTCACAGCTACAGACAGGCTGGCTTCAGAGGCTGTTGTCTCAGTTTCTACTCTAGAACTCTCCAACTGCTAGTATCACTGTTTTATTCTCTTTATTGTTGGCCATAGCAACATGGGTAATTAGCCAAAGAATGTCTTTAGGACCGCTCATCCCTCCTCCTATGTTCCCTGGACCTTCAGGGTGAAGTTCACTCTGCTTGAGCTCTCAAGTCCCCTATTTACCTGAAAAGTAAACACTCTCTAAATGGAAGGGAACCTAAAGGTCATCTGGCCCTTCCCCAATCTCTCCAAGCTGCCACTTCTTTCCCTGCTACATAATTTTCCGGGCCCCTTGCCCCAGAGCTGGCCATGTCATCTCCACATGCCTCAGAGGCATAGAAAGTTCTTCATTGCTATAAACCTGTCGTCAGTCTTCTCACTTACCCTCATGCTAGCTGGCACATCATAGGTGTTTCATATGGGTTAGTTGCTTGTTTTATTTTGATTTTGCTGAATTAACTCCTCCTGGCAGACAGGAAAATACTTACCTCCCCTGGAAGTGACGTGGAGAGGCCAGTCATCCCAATAATGAACTCCCCACTGAGTTACTCAGATTATTCTCAGTGCAACTCAGCCCAAATGCACTGAGTGTCCACAGCTGAGTACTTTCACACGCAACATCGTTTTCAGTCTCACGATTTCCCTATAAGATGGCTGAAAGGCTGACACGGACTCCATTTGACAGATGACCGAACTGAGGTAGGTTCAGCCAACTAGAGGAGGTCAAGGCAAGATTCGTACCAGATGGATGCATAGATTTAGAGCTCAGGGCTCTTAGCTCTGCCCCCGAAATAGCACATTTCTTCCACAAACACACACTACAGACATTTCGTAACAGCAGACCAGCCAGGAGAACCCTGACTGCACAGCCTAGACTTTCAGTATGAAAAAAAGTACTTCTCAGGGACATGGATAAGGATAAAGCAAAAGCAATGCTTGGTGCCTTTTGAGGGGTGGGGGGTCAGTATAGATTCATAGTGGAGACTAGAAGGGAGGCAGAGCACAGCAGTGAAGTTCCACTTTTGCTAGGAGAATCAGCCTGCAGGCATTACCACAAACACACACTGGCTTCCATTTACTTGTGTCCCCCTCCCCTACCTCCCTTTTGACCCTGATGAAGACTCACTCTGCAGAAACTGAGACACATCTTCCAGCTGGGGAATGTTATCTTCACGGAAGCCGCAGTACTTTTCCAGAAGTGGGAAAATGTGATTGTGCTCGTAGCAAGCGTGGGTTTTATACAAGGACTTCAGCGTCTTGAACACCGTCCCCCATGTTTTCTTTTCTTCCTCCGTGTATTCCACTCGAGGGATGGGCTGCCCACTAGAACACAGGCATGAGGTATTTGTCTCCAGCAGGGCAGGTAAAGGGTGGAGGGCGAAGGAGCGTTAGCAGAGGGAGTTGGGTCCAGGGTCTGTGAGCAGCCACCACCCAGACGCCAGGAGGCGTCATCAGTTATTTGAAAGAGGAAAATTCCACTTTCTGATGTAGAAAACACTCAACTGCTTTAGGGAAGCAACAATACAAGGTCTCCACTGGCCAACTGCACCAAGGATTTGCTCTCACATTGGGGAATCACTTGGCCTTTCTGCTCTCCTATTTCTCTAATTGTTTACCTAAGGTAGGAATTCACTTACCTTCAGGAGCCAGGCAGGGAACAAAAATGTGTGAAGTAGCAGGTATAGACAATAGGAGAGTGGGGCTAAGAAACTGAAGAATGCACCCTCTTTCTAAACAAAGGCGTCCAAGTTCAATGCAAGTATCCAAGTTCAATTAAAGTCTTGTATTATATCAACTAAAGCAATTACATCTTAGGCTAAAGCAGATTTAATACGTGCACCCTGAGTTTGAGACCCTTGTTTAGTGGCCATACACTTGCTGGAGTTGATATTTCAGCCCTTGGGAAATTATAAAGGTGTTTGAATGCATGCTAGGGATAATATCTGCTCACGTAACATCTTCTGCTATGACACAACGGAGTTACAGGATGCTTGTTACCTGGTTCCAGTAAGCTCCCACACTATAGTTTGAGAGTCATTAGTTTGAAAGGTCCTTTACGAGAAACATCTAAGAATGAGCTGTGTTCTGACCAGTAAAAACAAATGAAAACCAGAGAAAGCCTGACTTTAAAGCCCAGCAACTGTTTTTTGGGCTAAAGGCCTGTTTCCTAACAGGGTCCACAGTGTCCGGAACAAGACGAGACTGTTAACCTGAGAATAATGGATCATCAGCAGGCTCCAAACTAGGGCCCTCCTGTCCTTTCAGAATTGTAGCTCATCCAAGGACATGAAAACAAAGTCACTGTGAACGTCCCACAGAAAGGTGGGCAGGGATTAGGGGGGAAAGACAGATTTTTGCATAGGCATTAAAAGCAAGACAAACTCAGAAGGTTCTGCAATGGCCAGCAGGAATTGTAAACAAACAAACAAACAAACATCAGGTAAGCTCGTGCTAAGGGTACAGCATTATTTCAGGGCTAAGTGCTGATCAAGAAAAAGAACAGGCTTTGGAGAGGGACAAAGATGGGTTCAGTACTTGGCTCTGCCATGTCTTAGCTGAATGGCCTTGGGCAATCTGGTAAACCTCTCTGAGCCTAGCTTGGGCTAACTATTCAGACACATTTGATCAACTGATCAGTATACTGGGATTCTATGGTTCATGATGCATGGGTTTGATCCCCATGTGGGACAATTACTGGGAAGGTGCTAGAGACCTCAATTGGGGCTGTTGGCATGGAGTGTGGCTGAAGCCAGGGAAGAGGGCCAAAGTTGAATCCTGAAAGATGTTACCATTTCTGGGGTCAGAGGAAGAGGCCAGAGGAGGCTGAGAAGAAACCTTATAAAGGAAGGAGAGAAACCAGCAGAAAGTAAAATATATAAAAATTCTCCTGACTCTGAGAATCCACAGACACTCAGGAAAGTGGCTGAGAATGACTTTGGAGTTAAACTACCCTGAGTTCAAAGCCAGAGCATGCTACCTACTAGAATATGACTTTGGCTGGTTACTTAACTGTTTTAAGCTTTAGTTTTCCCATCGGGAAAATGGAGAGTTATTATTAAGATTAAACAAAACAATGTAATCAAAGCATTTAGTAAAGCCCTGGACATAACAAGGAGACAATAAATGTGACCTGTTATTATTGACTAGCTAAAGAACTCTTGTCTCTACTTGATTGGATGGTGTCCACCTGACCATGTCGGGTCAAAGATGGGGACAGGGGAGAGAAGCCACCATGTTCTGTGATTCCTGCTTGCCATAAGCCAAGGCCCATAGGGGCCTAGATCTGCCCGTGGTCAGCACAGTTCTGGATCCTTCCACTATCAGGAGTCATTCAGAGAAGCAAACGTTCTCATTTTCTCTACAAATCCTTCCCTTTGAAAGGTGAGTTTGAATTTAGCATACGGGGCCCTATCGTCTCCTTCATCTCCCTCAGATTCTATCAAAGTGGTTCCAGTATCATTACCTCAGTATTCCGGTCAACTGTTAACTTCCTTCTGTGCCTGTCTTGTCTCATGCCCTTAGCACAGGGACGGAGCTCGGACCCCAAACACTGAGTTTCCCATGGCAGCTTCTCAGCAGTTCCTGAGGACTCCCAAGTAGCAAGACACTTCTCTTCCCCAATAATGTATTTGGTATTTGCATTTTCCTTTGGCTAAAATAGGGTAGAGGAGGAGCATAGAATCCCAGACAGAAAAAAATAGACTCATCCGAAAATCGCCCTTCACAGCTGGGTCAGATCAGATAAAAGTAGAACGCTGAGGCTTGGCTCGCCTGAAACCTCACATGATTCATGATTTCAGCAAAGCAGCCAACTCCTTCCTGAAGGTAAATGATTCCTTTTTTCCTTCTCCCATGTTGAATGTGGAGAATACCAGAGGCTGTTTTATTCAGGACTGGAGGCCTCTTGTAATTACGCCGGACATCACTGCGTAATTACATAACAAAGCTTGGGAGAGAGCTGGGCCCCAGTGCAGTGGGTAATTTTGTTTGGTCTAGCAGGATTTTTTTTTTAAACACATGTTATTAAAGGGAGGGTTTAAACACACACACACACACACGGCAAGCAGGATTCTCCATGTTGGTCTTTTCCAACCATGGGCAAAGGAAGGTAGGCTAGGCACGTGCTCGCTTCTTCCATCTCAACAATCAAGACAGACTTACTGTCGGTAGTTGTAGGCTATGTCAGCAAAATACTTCCGTCTTTCTCGGTACACAGGATCTTTAAAACCCTAGGAGAAAGCAGACACTTAGTATCTCCGCTGGCTTTGGAGGGGGAGGCCTGGTGTACCTACGCATGCTTCGAATGGGGGCTCTTGAACTTTGACAGTGTGTCTCTCCTTCCCCTGGTAATACCCTGAGGATAAAGTCTCAGCTAGTTTGTGGGTAAGCTCTCCCACCAATATCATGAGTGACACACAATTAGCAACACCTTCAATTCAGTGTGAGCCTCTGTGCCACAGGATTGCAAAGTGCAAACACCATACAGGTTTTTTAAAAAATCTCATCCACAGCATTTCTAACTCGTAAACTTCCTAGATGAGGCAGTCCGTAGGACAGATGTCTGTGATGAAGACATATAATATCCACCGAATGTTTGATCCATGGTAGGTGTCTAGCGCTGCCTCCTAACTTCTTGATAGACAAACAGTACATGCTTACTGCCATTGCAACTTTTAAAAACACCATTTATTGAGTGCCTACTATGTGCCAGCCTGTGTGTGATAGGAGCTTATTCTATTTATAACTCCCACAACAAACTTGTAAGGTAGGCCAGTATGATTATCCCCTTCTTTCCAGAATAAACAGTGGCTCAGAGAAACAGAGTCAAAAGAAGTTGAGGCCAGGGTTGGACTCACCCAGTTCCCTGCGCTTTTCACTACACATCAGCAATCGTCAAACTTTACAACTTGGCGAAGGCTTAAGTAACTGAGAAATCTGTCTCGGTACCTAAAGAGGATGATAATTGCTTCTCTTCTGAGGTTGACCTGCATGCAGCCTTTCCCTAGCAAGTCACAAGCTGCACATTTCTGAGTGAAGAAGACAAGTGTGTCTTTCCATGTTGGGAGCGGGGTGAGGGCTTGGGGGAGCACACCTCTGAGTCAGAGGTGACCCCAATTGATTAAATGGGCATTTCCCCTAAGTTTTCTTCTAGGAGATTTGTCCTTAACTCATTTTGAATTACTTTTTTGTAAGTGGTATACTCGTAAGTGTCCAATTTTGTTCCTTTGCATGTGAATATCCAGTTTTCCCAGCGCATTTTATCGAAGAAACTATCCTTTCCCCCATTGAAAATTCTTGGCTACCTTGTCAAATATTAGTTGACCATATATGCATGCTTATTTCTGGGCTCTCAGTTCTGTTCCATTGGACTATGTGTATGTTTTTATGTCAGTACCATACTGTTTTGATTACTATAACTTTGTTATATAGTTTGAAAGGAAGTATGATGTCTCCAGCTTTGTTCTTTCTCAGGATTGCTACTTGACATTGGTCTAGGCAACATTTCTTTTATATGACAACAAAAACACAAACAGCAACATAAAAAATAAACAAATAGGACTACATCAAACAATAAAGCTTATGCACACCAAAAGAAACAATCAAGAAAATTAAAAGGCAACCTATGAAATGGGAGAAAATATTTGCAAATCATATATCTAACAATGGGTTAATATCCAAAATATATAAGGGACTCATACAACTCAATAGTCAAAAAGCAAATAATCTGATTTAAAAATGGGCAGAGGACCTGAATAGACATTTTGCCAAAAAAGACATACAGATGTACATGCTCAACATCACTAGTCATCAGGGAAATGCAAAACACAACCACAAAGCAAGATCACCCCACACCTGTTAGAATGGCTATTATCAAAAAGATAAGACATAAGTAATTGTTGAGGATGTAAAGAAAAGGGAGTTTTTGTGCAATGTTGGTGGGAATGTAAATTAGTGCAGCCACTATGGCAAACAGTATGGAGGTTCCTCAACAAATTAAAAATAGAACTGCCATATGACCCAGCAATCCCACTTCTGGGTATTTATCCAAAGAAAACAAAATCACTATTTTGAAGAGATATCTGCACTTCCATGCTCATTGCAGCATTATTTACAATAGCCAAGACATGGAAGCTACCTAAAGACTCACTGATGGATGAATGGATAAAGAAAATGTGATACATACACACACACAGACACACACACACACACACACACACACACACACAAGTAATTATGTGAGGTGATGATGTGTTAACAAACCTGATACGGTAATCATCTCACAATATACATGTGTATTAAATCATCATGTTGTACACCTTAAATTTACACAATGTTATATGTCAATTACATATCTGCTATATGTCAATTACATGTCCAATAAAGCTGGTGGTTCAATATCAAAAAAGATATTTTTCAAAAAAAATTATTGTAACATGAATTTTAAAAAGACAAGAGAGAGCCTGGTGTCATCACCACAGAACTTTGCTTTGTTCTCTCCATGCATTTCCCAATAAACTGTGTCATCTACCACTTTAACTTGAAATTTCTCTGTCCCACCATCCTTCCAAACCAAGGCGTTCATGAATCAAAAATAAAGGCTTACATCATGGAGCATAATATTTAAAGGAATCTTTTTAAAGGATACATACTCCCTGGTTTTCAGATGCTATTTTTTGTTTTGTTTGGCTGGTTGGTTTTTTTTTCCCCTAAATCAGGCCCTACTGCTAATTCCAAATGAAATTATATTATATTTAATATACATAATGTCATTTCATCTGAGAACCTGTGTCCTACAGAAAGCACTGCAAGCACTTGTTGAAAGAGGAAAGGGAGAAAAAGGAGAAAGAGAAGCAGGGAGACAAGGAGGCAAGAAAGGAGTTTTTTAGTTTGTTTTCTAGGATATATTTTGAGAAATAGAGAAATCCAAATGTTTTACACTGAGGGAAAAAAATTACTATAGATTTTTCATTCTAACTGAAGTTCCCAATAAATTAAGCGATTATAGGTTTAGAAAAGGGTCAATGACATGATTATTACAAAGTGTAACTATTGTTTTCCTTAGCAAACTGAATGGTGTTGAATCATTAATTACAGGTGGAAAAGCTTAGGAATCTGAAATGTTAAAACGACCGTTGGGTCCACTTCTACTGGGTGAAGATAAATTGCTTTGGGAATGACGCGGTAAGAAAATTGGGCACCGTCATTGAATTTCCAAGCAGCACTAACACACCCTTTGACGAACCTGTCTACTGGGCTAAAGGAAGAACACACCTCCATACTTAGAACTCAAAATATAAATGTCATGTGTGTCCATCATTAAGGCTTACCGTTACAGTCATCCTTACCTACCAGTCTTATTAACAGTCAGTAGTAAATGGCTTTCTCCAGCCCCTAAGTATGAAGGGTAGACTTTTGCACTTGCAGGTGCCCTGGAGAACATCTATTTCTATATTTTGATCTAGATCTACGGAGGGTGACCCTCAAATGTTTCACATTTGCCCAAGGGCCCTTACCTGCAGAACCAGCACCTCCACTCGGGTTTTCTGGTCCTACCTAAGCTGGTGAGTGGAGGTTTGAGGGTTGAGGCAGGAAGCCAAGGAGACAAAGAAGAATTTCCTTAACCAGTGGATTTCCCCTCATCATGCTACCTCCAGAAATGGGATGTCCGTGATCATTTGTCTTCTCCGTCCGACTCTTTATCTTTAACCTATAATGTTCTTGCTCTAGGTAGCTGCAATATTTTTCCCAGTGGAAAAAAGCTTTCTATAAAATTGTATTTCCAGTAGGTATAACTATAACAGAGGAAATATATCAATATATAAATGAAGTGATAGAAGAAATACACCGAAGTGTAATAAACGTTACAAAAATAAGAAACAGTAACTACTGTAATTTTCTACACGACTGATGCTTCTGAAGTTTTCAACTGTGAGTGTGGATTTTTTTATAATTGGAAAACAGTTAAATAATAGTAAAAGATCCATCTCAGGTCATTATGGGAAGTGGCAGCATATTCATACATTTAGATATATCAACACACAGATGTATCACACAGACTTTCTACATGGAAAGGTTTTTAACCATTGTCCTATCCAGCTAAAAGTTGCTAAGAAGTTCATTATCAGCCTTCAAGGGGCCCCCACCAACTAGGCTGCATGGACTTTGGACTTTTGATCTCACCTACCAGTGACAGAGAGCTGTAACCTTGAAGTCCATCTCTCAAGGAGTTGGCCTTGCATCCTTTGGGCTGCCAGGTGACCACAGGGCCTCTGCAACCACATGGCGTACACTCTGAATTAAGCTACAGTTGGTGATGACTAATTGCCCTGTCTCAATTTAGACTAATAGCAACAATTTCAGTAGCACTGCATGTAATTTATTTATAATCACTCTGTCTCAATTAGGCTAATAGCAGCAATTTTGGTCGCACTGCATGTAACTAAGTATATTTTGACAGGAAAATATATTGTTGGTGAAGGAGGGAGGAGAGGAAGGGGGAGGAGAGATGGGGAAAATGTAGCGAGAACCCTAAGGATGCAAAGTTATAATATCACTTGCAATCATTACATGCGATCACTTTTCTTAATCAGAATTTTTGTTATCTGAGTGCGCTGAAGTGTATGATTTTGGTTTTGTGGAGCTATGGGGGAGAGAGCAACTGAGATCTTTACTTCATCATTTCCTGATATCATGGCTGAGGTCAAACCTCAGAAATGCCATCTTTAGACTCGTGAGGAGAAGCACAGGGGTTTTAAAGTCGGACAGGCTCGGTTGGATTACTAAACCATTTGGTCATTAGGAGCGTGGTCTGAGGTTGGTCAGTGAGCCTCTCACAGCCTTAGTTTCTTTATCAGTAAAATGAGACTGTTAATGGTAGCTACCTCACAGTGTTGCGTGGATTAGATTAGGTAATGTAGGCAGGGCACCAAGTAAACTAAGTATAAAGGAGACACTCAAAAAATGACGTACTTATGTAAAATGGTGGAAATCCAAAAGCTGAGAAGTCTGGTTCTGAACATAAAAAGGATATATTCTGAAATGGGTAACCAAGCCCCATCACCCATCCTTAGGCTTTTTAATCAGCATCTGTAGAATTCTTTTCTGGCTATTTATATTTCATCTAGGCCAATAATGAGAGCCTTTTTGCATTCCATCAGTCCCATGCCAACTGGAGGAAGGGTAATACATAGGAGAGGTTCAAAGTAGTACTTTTTAAGTATCTACCATT